TGGCAGGTCTATGTGTGTACACGTGTTCACGGCAGGTCTTGTGTGTACACAGCAGGTCTAGGTGTGTTCATGTGTACACGGCAGGTGTAGGTGTGTACACGTGTACGTGGCAGATGGGAGTGAGCTTGTCTGGTACGTAACTGAGCAAGAGTTGGGGTGGAGGAAAAGGCATATTTGAGAGTAACTGTATCTCGGTAATTGCTGCACACGTTTCACGTGTCTGTGAATACTGTGAGTGTGCGCGTGTCTGTGATTACTGTGAGTGAGTGTATGGACATGAAGGAGCGAGTGTGAGTACGCGTGTACCCGTCTGAGATGTGCATACCTGAGACAGAGTAAATGTGTGCACATGTGTAAGTATCATGTCTGCAAGAGTGTAATTAGGTAAAGTATGTGCGTATGTATGTGTGTAATTAGGTAAAGTATGTGCGTATGTGTGTAATTAGGTAAAGTATGTGTGTATGTAAGTGAGCACGTAAGACCCTTCCCTTTCGCTGCACACCCGTACACAAGACACAGCAGCGACTGACTCATGACTACCGTGTGAGGATGTGAAGTGAGAGAAAGGGATCGATGACCCCTGACTGCCCTACAGGAGGTCGCGGAGCCAGTCACGCGTCCACGGCGACTCCCTGGTGCGAGACGAGACAGTCGCGCGTTGGGTCGCTGACCGACCGACCAGCCTACCAGCTGTAAGGGTGCGGGTGTGGATGCTGCCATATCTTCACGGTACAAATTGACGGCGAGGTAATCCGGGAGCGTCTCAAAACGCCACAGGCCGCTGCCCTATAGAAGCACACAACACACAACAACACGCAACCACAGAACGACAGATAGGGGGGAAAAAAAGGAAACATTTTACGAAAATGAGTGCAACTTCATCACTCCTCTACTCTCCAACAGAGCACTATGGCAACTCGGTAAAAATCGCATTTACAGCTGGGAACTCTAATAAATAAGTGACTCTATGTACACACAGGGAGGAAAAACACAGCACAGCCCCCTGCCTCGTCTCACCCGTCCTTCCACGCCTGACCAATGAGGCAGGGAGCAACAGAACGCACGCATAGACACACACACACATTAGCAACACACACACACACACACACATTAAAAATACACTCACCACCTCGCTAGAGACACTCCTCCACACTTACATACAACATCACTGTCACACCAAACACGTCAAAGGTAGGTAGACAGGTTTTAAAAGCATATATAACATAACACCAACAACACTACCTTTTAAAAAGAGTCTTGTCTCGGTTTCATATACAACGTCTGTCCAAATTACTTTGTAGCGAGACATATATGGTACAGGTTTAACGCCCCTATCAACACTATAAGGTAGCGAGACAGCGTAGAGGAAAAAAATACCAAGGCTTGATGATACATTCTCCCCCCCCCCTGCTCCTTATCATGACCATCAAGCGATATCGACGGCTCAGTACAAGAATCCGTCACACATCAGTTCTTTACTGTAAGGCATGGCCAAGTCTTATACCGAGCAGTCCAAATAATCTTAACAACAGATACAATAATTAATAACCACCTTAAAAAATCTATAGCAGTTATTCCTTCTCCAGCACACTCATCTCCAGTGAAAACACAACTGGTAGACATCACAGCACACACACACACACACACACACACACTCTTTGTCACTCTCAAACAGGAAGAATTATATAATATATTTATATATATAATATTTATAGATATTTGGTTTAAACAACAACACCGGCACCTGGGGGGGTGGAGAAGAAATTCCTTACATATACTTGGTCAGACCACCATGGGGGTGGGGTTGGGGTGGGGGAATTCCTTACACATACTTTGTCTGATCACCATGGGGGTGGCGGGGCTGGGGGGCAAAATTCCTTACACATACTTGGTCAGATCACCATGGGGTGGCGGGGGTGGGGGGAATTCCTTACACATACTTGGTCAGATCACCATGGGGTGGCGGGGGTGGGGGGAATTCCTTACACATACTTTGTCTGATCACCATGGGGTGGTGGGAATTCCTTACACATACTTTGTCTGATCACCATGGGGGTGGCGGGGGTGGGGGGAATTCCTTACACATACTTGGTCTGATCACCATGGGGTGGTGGGAATTCCTTACACATACTTTGTCTGATCACCATGGGGGTGGCGGGGGTGGGGGGAATTCCTTACACATACTTGGTCTGATCACCATGGGGTGGTGAGAATTCCTTACACATACTTTGTCTGATCACCATGGGGTGGTGGGGGGCAAAATTCCTTACACTATTTGGTCAGATCACCATATATCAAGAATGTACACAGTGTAGACATGTAGACATACCAGTGGGAAACTTTCTACTTGACGTTCTACACTTGTGGTCAGGTTTGCCTTCTCAGCTACTATCTCCCTCCCTCTCTTCATTCCTCCGGCTGGAATAGAACCTTTAAGCAGGTCTATTAGTTATTTATTTTTAAAAAATAGCAAAAGCTCAGTGCGGAGAAGGCACCACAGAATTGTTGCTATTGTTGTTGTTTTTCTGAGACGCCATGCCATTTGTTAGTCCTGCCTTAGAGAGCAGTGGCTGCCATTTTACATACAACATCATACACTCACAGGGCATACCGCCACAGAGGAAAAGAGAAGGTATGGAAGCACACACACACACAACTGTGAGTGATGCATTTATACAAACTTTAGTGCACACCTGACACACAGTCACAGATTTACGAGAAGAATCTATCAGGGCCAACCCAGGCCGCATGTGATACAGCATTCTAGTAGACACACACAGACACTTGATTAAAAAAAAACAACAACCTTGCCCACATGGAAATCAAACTCCCCTCTTCTACATTCAATGGTGACATTATCTTTCAAACTGGATCTCTGACAACACGCAAGGAACAATGTGACGACGACTACAATATGTGGATGCTCCATCTTGGTTTTGCGTCCGAGTGTCCTGAGAAGTTGACATAAATACGTCCTATAATATAAACACAGAGAGCAGTCATCTGTACGTCCACGGATAACAGGAAAAGCTCCCTGCTCTACCATCACAGCACAGCACGGCTCTCCGCACTCTCTCACACGCTCGTATGGCAACAAAATCACATCACTCTGCACATCAACGTAAACTACCGTAACTGAACAGAGGGCATAAATACACACACACACACCACCCATCCTGTCACTATGAACATACATGCACTGTAGGCTTCCCAACAACTTGATATTGTTTCCGAATGCTACCACCATGAGCTCGGGTCCGTGGGGTTGAAAAACACAATTGAATGTGAAAAGTCACAGGGGAGGAGTCCCCCCCCCCCCCCCCCCCCACACACATCTCATCAACCAGGTAAGAAGCCGTTGAGCAGAGATAAATAACCAATGAACACAAAACTTCCCTCATGGCTGGCCTGGAAGATGACTACGTATCATATTTGGAGCCAAACTCCACCCTAGAGACAAATAACTCTACCCTTAAACCACACCACTCTATGCATATGAGACTGTGGATCATCACCTGTTCCACTGCACAGCCCTAAATGACATCAGAGCTACCCTTCTCCCTCCGAGACCTAACATTGGCAACACACTCTATGGAAAATTACAGCAACTGCAGCAGACCTGCATTTATCACTACATGGCACTGGACAGAGGGGCGAGAGCCCAGATGTCGCTGGATCGATAACAACAACAACACACCACTTAATCTGACAAAAAGTTATGCAGGTTGTTAAAAATCACCAAGCCCCCCCCCCCATTCTACATCGGAAACAACAGAAACTATTATTACCCTTTGTAGTACAACGTGCCTACATAAAAAAATTCGATGGCAACAAGGCTAGAGGGCGACCGAGAAAGACCTGGATAGATGGAGTCAGGGAAACATTAACCACATACCACATCCCCCTGACCCAAGCTCTCCAGCTGGCGACAGAGAGACGTCTTTTTCTTCCCGTGACACTCAAAAGGGTATAAGCGGCGGATAAAAGTAAAGTAAAGTAAGTAGTCCAACATCTCTGATGGTGCAGTGACTATGTAACCATGACACTCACCAGCTTCCCCAGTCCCAGCCACACACACCCGTCAGACGTAGGATCTTAGCCCTGGCCTCCTGACCCCACGGGACCCATCAACCTGAGCTCTCCTCAGCCAACATTTAGAGACACCTTCACACATTCCCTGACTGAATAGTAAATCTTCGTCAAGTCTAAAATGGGCATCCTGATTTTCCGATTGGATACATTCAACCCGTTCACTCCAGCACCAAGCAACCCAAAGACAAACAAAACAAAACTCTCATTTGAACAAAAACAAAAGGACAAATTACCACAAAAAAAACCCCCAAAAAAGACATGATGATATAAATCTGTTTGGTTTCCTTTTTGTTCATAGGTGGTGCGTGCATATCATTTGGCTGCAGAACAAAGTGTTGAGCTTGGCTTGGGATCAGAGGCCGTCTTGGAAGCGTAACTAGAAGAAGACTCGCTGAGTGGTACAGTGGCAGGTAAGGAGGGAGGTAGTTCCGTCTGTCAGGGGACAAAAGGGAGTTCACATCTGGAGAAAACCTGAAGATGATGACGTCGCCACCGATACAGCCCTCACGAGACCTGGTTGTTGTTGTTGTTGTTGATGCGACACAGCCCTCACATGGTTGTTGTTGATGTTGTTGTTGTTGATGCGAAACAGCCCTCACATGGTTGTTGTTGATGTTGTTGTTGTTGATGCGAAACAGCCCTCATGAGACGTGGTGGTTGTTGTTGCGACACTGCCCTCATGTGATTGTTGTTGTTGATGCGACACAGCCCCCACGTGATTATTGTTGTTGTTGATGTTGTTGTTGATGTTGTTGTTGATGCGACACAGCCCTCATGAGATGTAGTGGTTGTTGTTGTTGCGACACTGCCCTCATGTGATTGTTGTTGTTGTCGTTGCTGCTGTTGTTCATGCGAGACGGCCCTCACGAGACGTGGTTGTTGTTGATGGGGCTGCTGGCCAGGGCGGTGAGGTCAGCAGAGTTCACGGCCACGGGCGTCCCCACCAGACCGCGACCCTGATGGCTGGGCATCACCACGATCCACCGGAAATCTGCACGCCGCCCGACGGGAACAGAGAGAAAAAAGAAACAAAGACAACCGGGTAAGTTTTAGTTTTAGTAAGAGTTTTACAGCACTTGCAAAACAATAAGGTCATGTACTTTTTTAAGTAAGGATTTTACAGAACTTGCAACACAATAAGGTCATATAAGTGCTGAAGATTAGAGGTGTTACAAGAGAGTAACAAACACAAAAAAGAAGGAGGGGAGATAGGGATGACAGACATTTGATAGGAAAGAAGGAGCAAACAACACTACAGCACCCGCCAAACACCCACAAACAAGACAACCAGATAAAAAAGACGGGCGAGATGGAAACAAATGATAGTGGCAACAACAGCTCAAATAGAAAACATCATTTTGTTCCAATACATAAATGAATTCAACCAAATCTTTTGTTAAAAGAGAGAATTTGTCAAAAATAAACTATGCGCTAATGTGTAAACACAATAACCCAGATTTTCTAGAGTAAATTTCCTATAACATCATCATAGCTCCAAGTCGCATACATGCCTTTCTTCAATGAAGAACCTTAATTTTTCATCAACTGACTCAGATAACTAGCAAGGCATTTCCCACTGTTGAGGATCACAGCAGTACGTGAACAGACATATGGAATTCAAAACTGTGACCCATTTAACCAATAAAATGTAAAATTAATTCGAAAAAAATAAATAAAAAAACGAAATAATATTATTCCAATACAGCCTAGAAGGAGGGATCTCATAATAACCCAAATACACACCCACGTGTGCAGCACTGCGGCGCACAGACACTAATTTTTAAAATTAATTAATTAATTAATTTTTTAAAAATAATAATAATAAATGTGAGGCACTGTGGTGAAATCAGGCGCTGGTCAAATAAATGAAATCAGGATTTTTCTTCCCGCTAAGCAATTTTAAAATAAATTTTTGGTTTTTTGGCTCAACACCTTTTATGTCCATTTAGACACAAATTCCTGTGAGGACTTTACCGAAAAACGTTGATCAAAGGCAAAATAAAATATTACAATTTACAGGTTCCATGGACTCTCCAGCTTTGAAAGTTACCAAACTTTGGCAGTCATTTTCTCGCTAGTTTTACCTCTGAAACCTGGTGACCCCCCACCTTCTTCAATCCGAAATATCTCCACTTCTATTGAAGATAGATGGGTAATTTGATTTTTTTAAAAATTGAAAATAAGACAGATGAGCAAGCTTTAAGATGATACCAATAACTCAATATATGCCCTGATTCCACCACATCGCGACACAAATAAAATTTTTTCAAAATAAAACACAAAAGGAACACACACAGTGAAACCACCGGTCACCACTACCATGGAGGTAAAGAGCATGCGCCCCCTAGGTGTGGACAGCGAGGGGGAGACAGCGAGGGGAGACAGGATGATGAGCCACACACGCTTCTACCAGCTACTTCCACCAGGGAACCAAACAAAAAACAAAACAAAACAAAACAAAATCAAGTTCTCCCCACCACACACAACAACTCAACACACACACACACACACACACTGACAACCATTAAGTAAAATTCATGGATATTCCACACACTTGCCAACCTGCATTGGTTTGATATTTCTCTGGGGGTTTTTTTGGTTTGTTTGGTATCATTTTTATAACAAGCGCGCGGGGGAAGGAGGGATGGAGGGGGGGTTTGCTGCTTATTCAAGAAATTACCATTACCGACCTCTATAAAAATAAAAGAAAGAACAGGCCACGCGCTAAAACCACAATATCTGACAAACCATGCCAGAATCATGCAATCTGACTCTGACACATACACACACACACAAACACAAAAAAAACCCAACAACCTCCTATTAGACATATCATTTACCACATATCTGCCCCACTACGAACACTCATCCTCCAGTGAAGAATCAGACTGTCTAAACACACTGACGTATGTCATCCAGAGTCTGACACACGTCTGGCACGCCAAAATCACACATCTGACACTCCTGTTTTGATAACAAGTTTTACGCGTTTGCAAGTGCATAAGGTCATATGAGGGCTGTCTGATGCTCTACGTATCACCCACCCGTGACACTCCTATCACAAATCTGATACACAAGAATTCCACATCTGACAAGTTATGTATGTATAGTATAGGGTTTTACGGCGCTCGCAACTGCATAAGGTCATATGAGCGCGCGAAACACAATTAGAATAAGAATTACACATGTGACACGCTAGAATAAGAATTACACATGTGACACGCTAGAATAAGAATTACACATGTGACACGCTAGAATAAGAAGTACACATGTGACACGCTAGAATAAGAAGTACACATGTGACACGCTAGAATAAGAATTACACATGTGACACGCTAGAATAAGAATTACACATGTGACACGCTAGAATAAGAATTACACATGTGACACGCTAGAATCGCACGTCTGCAAACACTAAAAATCCCCCCCCCCCCCATCAGACAAAGCCCAGAAATAATTTCTGCTAGGAACGAGACAAACAACGTTTCAAACCTAGCTTACCCCCCGGGGCGTCACCACTGACTGAAGTGTCTTCAGGCCATTCCCAAAGGGGAACATTTCTCGTTTATGCACAGTAGAATTGTAAATGGGCTGATTCATCAATGTCACACTCATAACTGTGCCTGATCTACAACAGGGAACTGCTGCTTTTTCTTTCCTAATCCTTACTATTGTCATTTTTCCTCTACTTCTTTTGTACATTTGTCACACTCTTGTTTTCCTCTACTTCTTTTGTACATTTGTCACACTCTTGTGACCCGCTATTTCCGGGGTGCCTTGAAAGTCGAAGCAGACTGTGTTGTTGAAGCAGCTAGAGAGGTGAGCAGGGTAAGCCTGATTCCCTGTAAGGACTTCTCTGTTGACATCCACCCCTTGGCGCTCATATATGACCTTATGCAGTTGCGAGTGCCGTAAAACCTCTACTAAATTTTTTAAAAACCCTAGCTTCTGACTGACCATTGTTACATTTCAAACTTTTTAGTGTAAGACTCAGCCTCTACATGCCATTTGGAAAAGTGACGTACGACATGACAACACAAGTCTTAGGCCGGTCCCATCCATTAGCCACTCTGGGACCGGCCTTACGGGAACCACAGGAGCATCATCAAACACACAAACAAACAAACATCGCAGACGACGACAGACAGCTGTCAGAGGAAAGAAAACCTGGCACAGGTTCCTTCCTCTCCCGGCTGGCTGGCGGGCTAACGGATGGATTGGCTACGGTGAAAACGCACGACCGTGACGGACAGGTTGGCAAGCCTGACAAAAACATTCACACAAATCAAAATATCCAACGCAAAGTAAGGTGAGGCGAGACGAGAAAGCCGAAAAAACACACACAGAGCTGTTTGTTACACACACACCCCTCACAACACAACGGCCGACACACAAATCATCATCACACATACTTATGGCAGGGACAGACTTTGTAATGGTAAAATAGTATAGTTCATGATTGATATATGTGTCAAAATGTCCGTGAGTGAGAGAGCTAGAGTGAGAATGAGAGGGAGAGAGGGAGAATGGGAGGGAGAGAGGGAGGGGAGAAAGGGAGAGAGAGAAAGAGAGAGAGAAGGAGAGAGAGAAAGAGAGAGAGAAAGAGAGAGAGAAGGAGAGAGAGAAAGAGAGAAAGAAGGAGAGAGAGAAAGAGAGAGAGAAGGAGAGAGGGAGGGGAGAGAGGGAGGGGAGAGAGGGAGGGGAGAGAGGGAGAGGGAGAGGGAGAGAGAGAGAGAGAGAAGCAGACAGACAAAATGACAGACAACTGTGACAACACCCATCTAGAATGTTCATCATCATCCACTTTCTGCGAGTGTCAGTGTCAGCACCCCACCAACACAAGTAACACTCTACCCCTAAAAAGATAAAACTAGTTCAGTAGAATAATGATTGACCCGTGACTGACCCATCTTAAGCTCTTAAAAATAACTATTGAAGAATAATAATTGACCTGTCTAAAGTTCTGAAAAACTAATAATTAATGACACGTGAATGACCCGTCATCAAAAGGTCAAAGACTGATCATAGATCTTAAAAAAAAAAAAAAAGAAGAAAAAATAACCATCTCAAGCATCACAGAGGGAGGTGCGGTTCAATAAAGGAAAAAAAAACAACAACCCACAACACTTAGAAGACTTACAGACCAGCAAGCCTCTATCAAAAACCTACAGCAAAACGCACAACACAATGGGAAAAGAATCACCGACTGGAAATAAAAACAGGTACCACAGTAAAAATGGCACTACCTAGACACCTCCACGTCTAACACTCTCCCTATATCTACGGAGAGCCCAACAGACCTGAATGTTTCTTGCAAATTTGACAAATGAATCGGGGAGGGGGGTTAATAATTGATGAAGTCAGCCTCGCCACCTCTATTCATGTTATGTAACATGTCATCCTACCAATTATTGCGACATCAGCAGTAATAGAAGAGCCAACAGTTAACGGGAGCAGAGCAGGAAACTAACTATGTCCTATATATATAGCTATAAAAAGTAAGGGCAATCATAAAAGAAAATTGCTAAAAGCGAAACAAATGGAAAAAAAAAGCACACACACACAATAATTTTGAATACTACTGGTAGTAGGAAAGATAAAATGCAACATTAGTTACAAGCACCAGAAGGGATTATGATAAAATGCAAAAAAAAGTGTAAGATACTTGTGTATATATATTTGTTTTTTACATTTGGAAAGATTTGTCAAAATGTTTTCTTAATTCATTTATTTTGTTCATATAAGATTCAACATAAGCCTTAAAAATATACTGTGTATTCATAGGAGGGTTGGTTTTGTGGGGATTTTGTTTTTGTCTCTTTCATGTTGTGTTTTGCCAGTTTCGAATTTTCATTTCTGGGGGAGGGGGTCTTGTGTTGTTTTCTTCAGATTTTTGTTGTTGTTGTACCCAAATGGGCCTTTGTCACTTTTAACAAGGGTGGGGGAATCATGACTTGGTCAATTGAGGATTTGGGAAAGCGGGGGGGGGGAATTCATAAGCGTTGACTTTGAGACTGACAATCAATAAAAACTGGATCAATTTTCTTCTACAATGGTCATAAAATTTACTTGACAGGTTTTTAAAACTAGAGAATTTCTATGTTACTTACGAAACAGTAGTAGTTACCACCACACATACAAAGTGCAACTCCCGTGCAAAAACACACTACACGTATTTCCTGCTGCATATACAGTATACACATTCATTATATATATATATATAGCTTACACACACACATACATACACACATACTAATGAATACTGATACGGTAACAAAAGGCAAACTACGATCATCAGCTGGCAAACACATCCATGGCTAAATACACTCAACACAAGTATCAAATGGTTACAACACAACGTGTTTGTTCAGCCCACAAACTCCTACACATTCCACAGCCTACAATCACCTACAATCAAACTGCTTGGATTCACAATCCTTCTCTTCTTCAAGATCTTACTTTAAACTTTTAAGATTCACCTTTAGTCAATTCCAAGAACACTATTTGAAGAAAAAACTTTGTTGGGACATCTTTCCTCAATACAATATTTTTTCATTACATTCTCTTTAACTTGTTCTTGTGAAATTCAGTATTCTGAAAACCACAAATGGTCAGGTTTCTTTACACTTGTGCAAAAGTACATTCGCAAAAATGAAATAACCCTATATATCATTTACATAGCATAGCCAAGAAACACTCTTATCAGCATTTCGGGGGGGGGGGGGCTGTGGTATTTGACGAACAAAGTAACATCTCTACTTAAATTTGGCCAAGTCAATTTAAAGGCGAAGCGCTACTACCCGCAAGTAATCACGAATGCGAAAAGTAAAAATTTTAAAAAACCAGCAAGGCCTTACAAACTAACTCCGGCCACGGGCTCTACAGCAAACACAGCCAAGGCACACTGAAAACACAAAGCACCTTGGAACCAGCAAAGAAATGGGTCAGTAGCAAAACCAGACCATCACAAGTAGTGGGGGAAAAGAAAAGAAAAAAACAAAACCAGTAAATGTGACTAGTCTACAGCACGAGGGGGGGCGGGCGGGGCCACCAAGGATATTAGGAGGTGATACAAAAGACAACAGCCAATGAACAACGAGTCCAAAATGCCGAGAAGATAATAAAAAGAAAAAGGGAACGAGAAAAAAGGAGCCGTACCCATTAGAAATGATGGTGGTGGTGGTGGTGTTTGTTGGGGTGGTGGTGGTGGGGGTGGTGGAAGCCGCTGCGTCCCAGACCGCTGGAAGATCCAGCCCCCATGTGGTACGACGAGGGAGGGTGGTGGTGCAGGCGGGGAGGGGGCGGCGGGTGGCTGTCCCACTGACCTGATCCCCCGCACGACGGGTCAGCCGAAGCTCGATGGCGTCCCGGGTCAGCTGCGTTGGCGTGGGAGGAGGAGGAGGAGGG